ATGGGTTCAATATAAGAATTAGCAAACAAAGAGAAAACAGAATAAGTCACTTGCTGTATATGGATGACATAAAAATATATGCAAGTACACAAAATCAGTTAACAAACCTATTAAATCTGACTGAACAATTTTCCGGTGATATTGGTATGTCTTTTGGTATTGAGAAATGTAAGACCCAAGCAATCAGAAAAGGCGTCCAACACCAAGTACCACATATAACCCAGAATAAGGAAATAATCGAAGCCCAAGAACGAAACAATACATACAAATATCTGGGTTTCTGTCAATCCTCCCACATCAATCATACCAAAACGAAAACACAGTTGAAAGATCAATACCTAGCGAGATTAAAATTAATATTGAAGACACAGTTAAATGGAAAAAATTTAATGAAAGCAGTAAGTACATTTTGCGTTCCACTGCTTACATATTCTTTTGGAGTCATTAAATGGTCCAAAACCGATCTTGAAAATTTAAATATCGCAACAAGGAAAATCTTCACACAGTATAGAAGGCATCATCCAAAATCGTCGATTGAAAGATTCTCATTACCAAGACAGAATGGAGGAAGGGGTTTCCAGAACCTAGAAAACTTATATCAGAGACAAATCTCAAATTTGAAGAAGTATTTCTTGAAACGAGCGGAAAGAAATGAAATGTTTCGCACCATCACAAGAGCAGATTTGAACCACACACCCTTAAATCTGTCGAAAACCGAAGAAATCCACACCCCCCACACAATAGATAAAATAATAAGTGTGCTAAAACAAAAACAACTACATGGAAAATTCTACAAAGACTTAGAAGAAAATCATGTCAATAAGAAGATGTCATTGATTTGGTTAAAAAAATCAAGTTTGTATGCCGAAACAGAAGGATTTGTGTTTGCTATTCAAGACCAAGTAATCAATACCAAGAATTATAGAAATAAATACATCATCAAAGATCCGAACATAAAAAACGACTGCTGTCGCCTCTGCAAAGCAAAACCTGAAACGATCCAGCACATAATCTCTTCTTGCAGCATCCTAGCACAAACTGATTACAAAGCTAGACACGACAACGCAGCCAAAATCATTCACAAAGAATTAGCAACACTTATGAACTTAATCGAAGATACGACACCCTATTACACTTACATTCCATCTCCGTTCCTTGAAAATAACAAATACAAATTATACTGGGATCGCACAATACTTACAGACTTAAACATTACAGCTAACAGACCAGACATCATACTTATCAAAAAAACGAACGAAGCCTTTCTCATTGACATTGCTATTCCTAACACAAACAACATTATTCAAACATACGACACCAAGATTTCAAAATATCTACAATTATCGATAGAAATGAAATCCATGTTGAATCTTAAAAAAATTTCAATTCTACCCCTAGTTATCTCTAATGTAGGTGTAGTTCCAAATAGCTTAGTTGAGAATTTAAAGTCTTTGCATTTGAATGATTCAATAATTGTCAAAATTCAAAAAGCTGTTTTGTTAGGAACATGTCATATTGTTCGTAAGTTTCTTGAACAGTCTGATCATGTCAGTCAGATTAGATTAGCACCAGTAGGTCAGAGTAGTGTAGGTCACTTTTCATGTGATGCGCGGATAAATGGTAGGTAGTTAGGCTAGACTTTTGGGGATGGGGTGAGATTAGAGAATAATAGCAGACTAATTTGTATGCTGTAATTCTAGAATCTCGAAAGTTGTTCTGTTAATCTAATCAATGCATATCATTACTTGGTCTTAGTACCCGTAATGATAGAAGTCTTGCCTGAATGCCGGTCATTTCCGGGTCAGTGGTGGGTCTTAATAATAATAATAATAATACTTTATTCCCAACAGGTAATAATACACCCAGTAACAGGGAAAAAAATTAACAATAATTATGAAGTAGTGCAGTAAATACAAAGAAAAAGAAAAAGAAAAAATATATATATATGTATAAAATATTAACTCAAATAAAATTAAGTAAAAATAAGTCACAAGTGAAAACTTAATCCAAAAACGCAACTTTTAATTAATGGTTCAATTATAATATTATGATCGGAACAAAAGACAAAATAAATTATTTATTACAGTAGACTTTATAGATGGTTTGAATAACAGTACCTAAACTATCAGCATTTATGTCGCAAAATTTAGATATATGATTAAATAGTTCACACATGAGAATTATAGGTGATCTACGTAACACATTTGTTCTGGTTGCTAATGAGTAAAATGTTAAAAACTGTCGAGAATGAACACGAGGTACAATGAAACGAATTTTATCTAAAAGAATTATACAGTCTATTTTGTTATTAACTAACTTATGTAGAAAGCTGATGGTATGAATAATACGCCTAATTTCTAAGGAAATAAAGTTGAATTGATTTAACAGTTGTAAGTGATCACACCCTCTGTCAGGATATACCCCAGATGAACGATATGACAGAAATTTCAGGAACTTACGTTGGACGGATTCTATATTTTTTATATGAATTTCGTAAATTGGAAACTATATTAGTACTCCGTATTCAAGTTGAGATCTAACTAATGCATAATACAGATTGCAAAGAGTAGAGATAAATAAGATAACAAAACATAAAAAATAGGACAACGAAACAACAATCCTAACAACCAACGAACTTTACGAAGAACTGAATAGAAAACTTGAACAGAACAACGAAAAATTGCGATTAACCACTCTCAGTAAAACTAAAAATGACAGTGACGTTTGATGAAAAATCGATGAATTATTTATCAGTCATTAGATTGACTACATCAGTGCCTGTCGCACTATGTGGATGCAATGTGGAAGGAATTTTGTGGAAGAGAATAACTGACGTAGAGCGTAATTTGGCCTAATTTCGGTAGACATACTATTTGTCTGGTTCTTCGTTTTTGTAATCCTTAAAACAAAGATTCTTATGGTAGGTGCTGTCTGAGCTTGTATGATACTTCGGTCATGTGTGTCAAAAGATACATGAATCCAACTATACCTACGTACGAACATACTAGTGTCTACTTATAAAAATTCTTGACAAATAAATCTAATACTAGTCATTATAAACAAGTAATGGCCCATTTATCGTTCTCCAATTACGTCAGCAAAAATGAAGAAAGCGGCAGCGACTATAAATAGTTTTGATTTTGCTGTGTAGCTGCTATTCCATGAAATTACGTCAACTTCGTAATTTAAATTTATCACGAACTTCTTTAACTTAATTTTAGAGCAACAACTTTCGACTGTTTATCGTCGGCAGTTGACAAATCCATTTTAATCCCTAGGGATTAAAAATTTGCTACTACGGGTACTGGTCGAAGTTGCAGGACAGAAGAACTGTTGAGAATAGAAATAGATTGCATAGAGGAACCGTCCTTGTTATCAGCGTACCTGACACTAAGACACAAAAGTCGTCACGATTTAACATTGTTAATGAGCAAAAGAAGTCGATCCGTTTTCTGAAACTGTACAAGAAATACGCCAGACTGAGGCCTGAAAATGCGCCGCACAAAGGGTTATTTATAAATTACAGAGGGAATAAGTGCATCAAACAACCCATTGGAAAAATAATCTTCTCAAAGTTTTGTCGAATTTTGGAAACTACCAGATTCTACGCTGCGTACAGGGCACTGTTTTTGTCGGTGCTCTGCGACATTTTTAGTGAAAGCTGGTGATAAACGTTTATAAAAATGTTTCGTTGTGTTTATTCTTTTTTGATAACAATTAACAAGAAGTTAATCGGTATGAGAAGAATATTCCATATGTGAATAAAATATGTGCCCAATAATACAACCATTGTGACTGTTGACGACTGGAGCTTTTTCCAGCCGTGTTGTTTTTTTTCTTACTATTCAACACAAAATTGACAATTAGCAGAACACAATTGACGTAGGACGAAAATCAAAAGAAAAAAACTATTTTATGATGGACTTCTTTGTATACATACCTGCATCCTTCCTCTGTCTTCAGATATTGTGAAGATTTGTATTGTGTTTATTAATTTATTTATTTACTTATAGCGAAAACAATTGTTATATCATGTAATGTTTTTGTTTAACTTCCGTTTCTCTCTCAACCGTCAAAAGCACTAATAAATTTTCCACAAAATTGTGACAAATTTCCGGCGATTACTTTTTTTTTTATAATTAAAAATTTGAGAAGATGTACAAAAAGTTTTAGCATGTAAAGTATTCGCTATTTGACTGCCAATTTTATTTTCTCTTTCTGTACTGCATTAAACATAATTGAATTGCGAAACTAATTCTTAGCAAATAGATATCTAATATCTTATCTGCTACGACGCAAATGGAAACAACTAGATAAATATGAATTACTACTTAAATAAGAAAAAATGTTGTGATTTAATTGTAAAATTTTCAAGCAAGACGTCAATCAACACTTCATATTTCTCGATATCTTAAATCTAGCTTTTACAATGTTTACTTGTAGTAACTAACCAAAAAGCAATGAATTTAAAATGTAAATTATGTACAAACTTTTTGCACTTGTTGCAATTAGCATGTGGGTGACGTGTTTATTGATTTATTACGAGGCTTAAACAAAAAACTGAAAGAGACTCACTCTCATTTTAAGCATGCAAGTACATTAAGCTATGCTTCATAATCATCCGATGGTGTTTCGTCCACAAACATCTGAAGTTGGTACACCATAGTTCATCAAAGTAACAACAAAAATTAATTTAAGAAGATCACCCCGCCGTAAACTACGTGTACATATTATTACTTGATCTCTTGTTTGCTTTGTTTTATTTTATTGCTTGTTGCTTTAATAAATCTAAATCTACGTACGAAACATATTTATACATTATAAGCTATGAACCGTGGAGAAAACATTAAATTAGCCATTTATCAGATTTTGTTTTTTTTCATAACTTGGAAAGTCTTGCTCTTGATAACACCAACTTATCAGATATGCTAACCCCACCTGTAGAACATAGTATATAAGGAACAACATTAAAAAGTTGGTGATAATTGTAATACGGATGATTTAAAAGTTTACCGTAATACAGGAATACTTTAATTGTAAACATATTTTATAAAAGTTTTTTGTGATTATAAATTTCAAAAATAAGTGAACTTCCTGACGGGTAAGTTGAAAATTACAGTTAGAAATTACCATGTACGCGTATTTTTTATTTTTACTTCCCCATCGTAAGCAAAGGAAGTATTGTAATCGAGTCCGTCGGCCGACTCTCTACTTTTACGTTTTCTCGATCTTTCATGACCCCTAGAAGACGAAGAAATAGGTCTCCCATTTCCGTCTGTCTGTCCGTCTGTCCGTCTGTCCGTCCGTCTGTCCGTCTGTCCGTCTGTCCGTCTGCCGTCCCGGATTTTTATTAGACAGATAATCTCCGAAAGTACTCGACCGATTGTTGTGAAATTTTGTACTTATATTAAGAATATCATGTAGATGGTAAAACGCTAACCAAAATCTGTCTAATCATCCCCACCACTAATGCGATGACGTCACTTCAAAATTGTACATAGTAAATGGGTTTTCAATTGTATAAAATAACATAGTCCCACACATGTAGTTTACAACTCCGAATCGACTTTTCACCCGAAACGTCCAGATTTTTGGAAAAAAAATCAAAATTATAAAACAACATTTTGAAATTTAATTTTTAATCTGCTAACCAGAATGCCTTGAAGTGTTGCAGATGTTTTAAGGCTATAAAGAGCATCATAAATCTTTAGTCAAAAAATATTTGCTTATCCCCTCCAAAAACTTGATGACGTCAGCTCAAAAGTTTGTGGAATAAATCATATCTAAAATGTACAAAATATGATGAGTCTGTACTTGTGATCTATCACTCCATTCATATTTTTTGGATTTGCGTATACAGGGTGACTCAAAAAAATTAATGAATGCGTAAATTTATTTTACTGATTTACTCAGAAACTACAAAACCGAATGCTTTGAAATCTTGCAGATGTTTTAAGGTTATAAAGAGCATAATAAATTTTTAGTCAAAATATATTTGCTTATCCCCTCCAAAAAATTGATGACGTCAGCTCGAAAGTTTGCCGAATAAATCCTATCTAAACTGTAAAAATATGATGAGTCTGTACTTGTAATTTATCACTCCATTCATTTTTTTGGATTTGCATATACAGGGTGACTCAAAAAAATTAATGAATGCGTAAATATATTTTATTGATTTAATCAGGAACTACAAAACCGAATGCTCTGAAATCTTGCAGATGTTTTAAGGTCATAAAGAGCATAATAAATGTTTAGTCAAAATATATTTGCTTATCTCCTCCAAAAACTTGATGACGTCAGCTCGAAAGTTTGCCGAATAAATCATATCTAAAATGTACAAAATATGATCAGTCTGTACTTGTGATCTATCACTCCATCCATATTTTTTGGATTTGCATATACAGGGTGATTCAAAAAAATTATTGAAAGCGTAAATTTATTTTACTGATTTACTCAGGAACTACAAAACCGAATGCTTTGAAATCTTGAAGATGTTTTAAGGTTATAAAGAGCATAATAAATGTTTAGTCAAAATACATTTGCTTATCCCCTCCAAAAAATTGATGACGTCAGCTCAAAAGTTTGCCGAATAAATCCTATCGAAACTGTACAAAATATGATGAGTCTGTACTTGTAATTTATCACTCCATTCATATTTTTTGGATTTGCATATACAGGGTGACTCAAAAAAATTAATGAATGCGTAAATTTATTTTTTTTTTATTTAATCATGAACTGCAAAACCGAATGCTTTGAAATCTTGCAGATGTTTTAAGGTTATAAAGATCATAATAAATGTTTAGTCAAAATACATTTGCTTATCCCCTCCAAAAAATTGATGACGTCAGCTCGAAAGTTTGCCGAATAAATCCTATCTAAACTGTACAAAATATGATGAGTCTGTACTTGTGATTTATCACTCCATTGATTTTTTTTTGAATTTGCATATACAGGGTGACTCAAAAAAATTAATGAATGCGTAAATTTATTTTATTGATTTACTCAGGAACTACAAAACCGAATTCTTTGAAATCCACTGCGAAAAAAAAAAACATAATAGGCATGCAGTCGTCACGTTTCCGACAGCGAGGGAAGTACTGTCTAAACCCTTTAGACCAATTTTTTATAATAATCATTAAAGAATTTATTATAACAATATGTACAGTACAACACTTCAGACCTAAAACGTACATTTCTACCTCGGGTAGATCTCCAAATTTGTGTTGTAATGGTCCTTCTTATTAATAAAGAGCGAATTTCAGACTAAAAAACAAAAATAAGCGATAACAATTGTGGATTTAGAGACGAAAATGGCAAAATAGGCGCTTTAGGCAAGTTTTAGGAAAAACAAATTTTACGCAACGTCTGGTTTTCTTTGAGATCTATAATATGGAAATTTGGTGTGGATGTATAGTTAAACATGGCGACTTGATAACAATATTTTTTCTTTTTTATCACTTTCGGTTTCACACACAAGACCGCCTAATTTTTTACTTCCCGAGCGTAAGCAAAGGAAGTATTGTAATCGAGTTCGTCGGCCGACTCTCTACTTTTACGTTTTCTCGATCTTTCATGACCCCTAGAAGACGAAGAAATAGGTCTCCCATTTCCGTCTGTCTGTCCGTCTGTCCGTCTGTCCGTCTGTCCGTCTGTCCGTCTGTCCGTCTGCCGTCCCGGATTTTTATTAGACAGATAATCTCCGAAAGTACTCGACCGATTGTTGTGAAATTTTGTACTTATATTAAGAATATCATGTAAATGGTAAAACGCTAACCAAAATTTGTCTAATCATCCCCACCACTAATGCGATGACGTCACTTCAAAATTGTACATAGTAAATGGGTTTCCAATTGTATAAAATAACATAGTCCTACACATGTAGTTTACAACTCTGAATCGACTTTTCACCCGAAACGTCCAGATTTTTGGAAAAAAAATAAAAATTATAAAGCAACATTTTGAAATTTAATTTTTAATCTGCTAACCAGAATGCTTTGAAATGTTGCAGATGTTTTAAGGCTATAAAGAGCATCATAAATCTTTAGTCAAAAAATATTTGCGTATCCCCTCCACAAACTTGATGACGTCAGCTCAAAAGTTTGCCGAATAAATCATATCTAAAATGTACAAAATGTGATGAGTGTGTACTTGTGATCTATCTCTCCATTCATATTTTTTAGATTTGCATATACAGGGTGACTCAAAAAAATTAATGAATGCGTAAATATATTTTATTGATTTAATCAGGAACTACAAAACCGAATGCTCTGAAATCTTGCAGATGTTTTAAGGTCATAAAGAGCATAATAAATGTTTAGTCAAAATATATTTGCTTATTCCTCCAAAAACTTGATGACGTCAGCTCGAAAGTTTACCGAATAAATCATATCTAAAATGTACAAAATATGATGAGCCTGTACTTGTGATTTATCATTCCATTCATATTTTTGGATTTGCATATGCAGGGTGACTCAAAAAAATTAATGAATGCGTAAATATATTTTATTGATTTAATCAGGAACTACAAAACGGAATGCTCTGACATCTTGCAGATGTTTTAAGGTTATAAAGAGCATAATAAATGTTTAGTCAAAATATATTTGCTTATCCCCTCCAAAAACTTGATGACGTCAGCTCGAAAGTTTACCGAATAAATCATATCTAAAATGTACAAAATATGATGAGTCTGTACTTGTGATTTATCATTCCATTCATATTTTTGGATTTGTATATGCAGGGTGACTCAAAAAATGATGGCGTGAATTTATTTTATCGATTTAATCAGGAATTACAAAACCGAATGCCTTGGAATCTTGGGAATATTTTAAAGTTATTATAAGCATGGTAAACTTTTATTCAAAATGTATTTGTTCATCCCTCCTAAAAAAATTGATGACGTCACCCTTAAATTTTGCTGAATAAATCCTATCTAAAATGCAAATAATATGATGAGTTTGTACTTGTGATTTATCATTCCATTCATATTTTTTAGATTTTCTTAAGAGGTGGTTCAAAAAAATTAATGAAGTCAATTTATTTTATTGATTAAATTAAAGGCAACACTTATTATTAGTATTACACCCCAACCAACCCAATTTGGTAGACACAAAATTTGTTAAAGGAAAAACTCGGTTGAAACATAAGGGTAGCACGCTTATTTACATCGACTTTAACATTACAGACCTGCATTTGTTTTATGCGCTCACTTGGTTCCGCGAATGTGGTATAGACATGTTTTAAATCAACCAATTGTGAATTCCACCGTCAAAAATTAAAATAAAATCCAATGTTTTATATAATAAGCGGAAGTCGACGCAATAAAACCGATTGTCGTTTTGTTTACAGTTTCTTTGTTTGACTCTCACGTATGCTGTTACGCCTGTCATCTTAAATTAAGAATGTTTATACATACACGATTTTCAGTTGCCTCTGATATGTATACGTGAGTAAATTGTTTCGTTATTTTATTGATTATTACAAATCAATATTCAAAACGACACAATTCATTTTCCCGAAAATTTGAGAATATAATAATTTTATTCTTAGTATTACACTACATCTATCCCAACTGATATACGTGTCCTTGCAAAAAATGTTGATGACGTCATCGCAATTTTTTTTTAAATTCCCACTACAAAAATGTAATGAGAAAAAAAACACAATAGGCATGCAGTCGTCAAGTTTCCGACAGCGAGGGAAGTACTGTCTAAACTCTTTAGACCAATTTTTTTTTTTTTAATCAAAAAATATCAGGAGAAGATGTACATAAAGTTTTAGCATGTAATAAGTATTTACTATTTGATTGCCAATGTTGTTTTGTATTTATGTACTGTACTGTACTGTACTGTACTGAATATGATTGAATTGAGAAACAAATTCCTGGAAAATAGATCATATCTTAGCTATATGACGCAAATGGAAACAAGTAGATAAATATAACTTATTACTTAGATAAGATAAAATCTCTTGATTTGATTGCAAATTCTTTAACCAAGGCGCCAATAAACACTTCATGTTTACCATTGTCTTAAATCTAGCTTTTAAAATAAGTATTTACTTGTAGTATGTAACCAAAAAGCGATGAATTTAAAATGTAAATTA